GGTTAGGTTTATGGTTAGGGTTAGGTTTAGGGTCAGGGTTAGATTTACGGTTAGGGTTGGGGTTTGGGTCAGGGTTAGGATTAGGGCTAGAATTTGGGTCAGGGTTTGGGTTTGGGTCAGGGTGAGGATTAGGGCTAGAGTTTGGGTCAGGGTTAGGGTTTGGGGTTTGGGTCAGGGTTAGATTTATGGTTAGGGTTAGGTTTAGGGTCAGGGCTAGGGTTAGGGTCAGGGCTAGGGTCAGGGTTAGAGTTAGCACATTGTTTTCTTCCGATTTCTTATAGACTGTAGAGTTTTGTTTCCATCTCAGAAAGCTGCTAGTCACATTCCCAAGATGCAGTATCTGTACTTTATTGGAGTATAGATTTTTTGCCCTACTTTTACTTTTATTCCACTACATATTTTAGATAAATTTAATACTTTCACTTTCACGGGCTGAATCGTTACTGGTTACTGATATGTAAACGTAATAAAAAGAGTCAGAGCCAGAGCTGTAGATAGCTCTGTCAGGGTTTGGGAAGCTGACTCCTGATTGGCCGATTTGAGCCATCAAGCATAGCCTATTAAAAAAAAAAAAAAGCCTCCCGAAAGATTGGGAAATTGTGAGTACTTTCAAAATTTAAGTAGCAATTTTTGAAATACTTCTACTTGCAATACTTAAGTAACAAAAAAAATGGAGTATTTCCACTTAAGTATGGCGTTAAAACAACATTTCAACTTTGACAAAAGTAAAAAAATTTTATATAGTACTTGTACTTCTACTCCAGTACTTTCTACATCTCCGTTTATGATGGGGTTCAGCAGGGATATGATTAGGCCTCTTTAAGGGAGGCTTCAAGCAGTCAAAAAACGTAGTTTGAATTGGTTCAAAAGAGAAAAATAAAGGAATAAGAACCCGTCATGCTCAGTACATCAGACCTGAAAACACCCGATAAAGCCGCTAAAAGTCCCGTTCTGGTTGTTTGCACTTGCAAAGTGATGAAACCAGAGGCGTGTGAGCTCATGTACAGAGACTTTTTCCCCTCAGCAGAAACAATACGCCGTTTTATTCTTTTGATTAGAGACACCGACTTGTCCCGGCAGCTCCCAGATAGACTGCAGTCTGCAGGTATTTTTATTTATTTATTTATTTAATCAGGACAGTGCTCATTAATAAACAATATTACACGTCAGTACAGATAGTAAATGAGCCAGATGCTAGCATAGCTGCTAATTTACATCTGTTGTCCTGAGGCAGGAAGATAAAACAACAGATATATACGGATATCTTACAGATATTTTCCTCCAATCAGGGTTAAACTCCCTAAATCTGAGACCCCGGACGGGTCCCGTAATCGGAATTTACACCTGTGACTCCACCGGTTTGAATCGGTTAACATCACAGACCTGGAAGCAGAAACCTGCTGGGTCCAGTTTTACCACGATCTGGACACTGGAAATAAAATATATCCAACTATTTGTGGAGGCAAAGAAAGCTTTCTAACCCAAATAAAGCAAAAAAAAGACGAGAGAATATAAGATTCTTGCCAGAAGGAGGCAGTTTACGGAGTGGAGGATAAAACAATGACAGTAAAAGTGTGAGCGGGGTTTTTTTTTTTTTCAAACTTTCTCCCTCACCAACAACTGAATGAGAGTTAGTTGCATCAACTTTGATAAATAAAGTATAAATAAATAAGCATGAATAAAACTTCAGGAAAAAAAGAAAGCTGATATTTTTGCTTCCACGTCAAAAAACGGAACCTAAAATCGGTCAAAGAGAAGATTTCTGCAGCCTGAAG